CAATGTTGATGTACAGGTATCAGAGGGGTAGCCGTGTTAGTCTGAATCTGTAAAAAGCAACAGAGGGTCCTGTGGCACCTTTGAGACTAACAGAAGTACTGGGAGTATAAGCTTTCGTGGGTAAGAACCTCACTTCTTCAGATGCAATGTTGATGTAGAATCACTACACCTCTTTCCCATTGCTTGCTTTCTCCAGACCTTTCTCTTATATTTCCTTAATTCTCAGATGTAGTCATTAAGGCAGGTGGCTAAGGCACATTTCAGAAACCTGCATAGCCCCATCTTCCTCCTCCAGTGTCACACACACAACACATCATTCCTTCATCAGAAGAAAAACTCTGGATACATCAGTAGGCCAGATGTTCAGGACCAGCTCCTTTGTGTCCAGTCATGTTTGGGGAACTTGGAGCTATTCTAAGGGTACGTCTACACTTACCGGAGGGTCCGGCGGCAGGCAGTCGATGTTCTGGGATCGATTTATCGCGTCTGGTTTAGACACGATAAAGCGATCCCGGATCGATCCGGAAGTGCTCGCCGTTGACGCTGGTACTCCAGCTCGGTGAGAGGAGTATGCGGCATCGACGGGGGAGCCTCCCTGCCGCGTCTGGACCCGCGGTAAGTTCGGACTAAGGTATTTCGAATTCAGCTACGTTATTAACGTAGCTGAATTTGCGTACCTTAGTCCGAAGTGGGGGGTTAGTGGGGACCAGGCCCAAGTTGCATACGACAGCAGGAACTCTGGAGACTTTGGTTTCACAGTTCATCTGAAGTCATGGATACAGATCTTTTGTGTATGTCCCTGGGTGGTTGTTTGTCTGGTCCAGAAATCTTCCAAAGATATTTTTGTGCCAACTCCAGACGTAATAACGGCCATACTGGGTCAGACCAATGGTCCATCTAGTCCAGTATCCTGTCTTTCAACAGTGGCCAGTGCCAGGTGCAGTGGTTTCCCCAGGAATTGAAATTAGGGGGGGTGTTCAAATTTACAGGGGGGGTGTCAGGGCCCATGAGATATATAAAAAAGAGATAGGATAATGCAAATTTAACATAAGGATAATGCAAGTTACACCAAAACACATAACAGGTCTAGATTTCTAAAAAAATATAATTTTTTTAAAATGTATTTTATTTAAATTGACCTTTGAAAAGTAAGCCATCATGGGATAAGAGGGAAGTCCTCTCATGGATCAGTAACTGGTTAAAAGATGGGAAACAAATTATCAGTTTTCAGAATGGAGAGAGATAAATAGTGGTATCCCTGAGGGGTTGGTACTGGGACCATTACTGTTCAACATACTCATAAATGATCTGGAAAAATGGGTAAAAAGTGAGGTGGCAAAATTTGGGGAAGGATCTCACAAAACGGGGTGACTGGGCAACAAAACGGCAGATGAAATTCCATGTTGATAAATTCAAAGTAATGCACATTGGAAAACAATCTTAGCTATACAAACAAAATGAAGGAGTCTGAATTAGCTGTTACTACTCAAGAAAGAGATCTTGGAGTCACTGTGGATAGTTCTCTGAAAACATCCACTCAATGTGCAGCGGCAGTCAAAAAGGCAACCAGAATGTTGGGAATCATTAAGAAAGGAATAGATAATAAGACAGAAAATATCATATTGCCTCTATATAAATCCATGGTACATGTGCATGTTGAATACTGTGTGCAGATCTGGTCACCCCATCCCCAAAAAGATATATTGGAATTGGAAAAAGTACAGAGATGGGCAACTAAAATGATTAGGGGTATGAAACAGGAGGAGAAATTAAAATGACTGGGAATTTTCAGCTTAGAAAAGAGACGACTAAGGAGGGATATGATAGAGGTCTATAAAATCTTGACTGGTGTGAAGAAAGTGAATAAGGAAATGTTATTTAATCCTTCACATAACACAAGAACTAGCAGTCACCCAATGAAATTAAAAGACAGCAGGTTTTAAAAAAACAAAAGGAAGTAGTTCTTCACACAACATAAAGTCAACCCGTGGAACTCTTTGCCAGGGGATGCTGTGAAGACCAAAACTATAACAAGGTTAAAAAAAGAACTAGATAAATTCCTGGAGAATAGGTCCATCAGTGGCTATTAGCCAGGATGGGAGGGATGCAACACCATGCTCTGAGTGTCCCTAGCCTGTTTGCCAGAAGCTGGGAATGGGCAACAGGGGATGGATCACTTGATGATTGCCTGTTCTGTTCATTCCCTCTGAAGCATCTGGCCTTGACCACTGTCGGAAGACAGGATACTGGGCTATATGGACCATTGGTCTGACCCAGTATGGCCGTTCTTATAAAAATTAATTATAATAATAAAAATGTTTAGTACAGAAACTCCCCAACATAATGACCTCTCAAGATAGCAATGATGTGAGATAACAACCTGGGCAAATAATGCATTTTAAAAATCTTGGCCTACTAGGAAACATATTATATAAGTTTCCATTTCCAGTCACAAATCTAGCATTCTGGAGCAAAGTCACTAAAATATAGTCCAACAAACAAATGTTTATTTAACGTGCCCCTCACTTTTCCTTCCACTGCACCCCACTCACCAGTGTTGTCCTTGGTCAGTGAATACTCAGAGTTCAGAGGTGCTTTCACGGGAGTACACCTCCCAGGTGGGGGGCAAGAAGTCACCTTGCTCATTCCTCCAGCTGTTCACTGTTCGCTCTGGCCACTGCTGTTTGTCGTGCCACCGTTCACTCCACCACTCTGTTGCCAATGGCCCTGCGCAGTCGCCTTCTGCTGCCACCTGCCACTGTGACCTCTGCGAGTTGGTCTCTTGAGGTTCCACCCAGCTCTGTGATTTCAGCTGAGCTCTCAGTAGGGGAACCTCGCTGCTAGTGCAGTCTGGGCCGTCTCTTCCACAGAAACACTGGCCTCACAGCAGGACTAAGCACTTAGACTTGATAATCAGTGATTTCAGCTACAGAACAAAAGACTATCTGTGGAGCCTAATCAGCTCTGTCTTTAAACAGTGGAGAGGGACAGGTCCCCACCCTCTCTCTTGATGCCCTCAATCAGCACAGGCTAAGTACAGTTCTACTTCCCTTTACTCATACAATAAGAACAACAGCATTTCACTTCCCCCCCCCCCCCCGCCTTGCATTCAAGTGATTTGTAACCCAGCCCCAGCCAAAATCTATCACTTGGGCAACACAGCTCTGTTTGCTGGATAACTAGGTAGAGTAGGTGTGAATGTAAATACAATCTGGTTCTGAAGCCTTTCCCTGAGCCCGCAGCTCATCACTAGCTGTCAGGGAGAGCTCATTTAAACTTTGCTTATAAATCATCATTTGAAATTATTAGGTTGGTCAACATCACCGAAAATGAATGCACTGACATTGTCATAAAAAACAACAGCTGTATAAGGAAGCTAGTGTATGTTCACACTTTTCAAATCTATTATACTTTTTCAGATATATGTATTTTATCATACACTGTATATGTTTTTAAAGTGTGTATTAATGTTTCAGTTTCAATTCAGACTTCCAAACAGTCACTAAATTGGCATGTAACTAGTTCACAAAACTGGGGGGAGGGGGAAATTCGGGGGGGTGTAGGGAAATCACTGGGTGCTTCAGAGGGAATGAACAGAACAGGTAATCATCAAGTCATCCATCCCTCAATATCTTCCAGTCTTTGATGCTTCACCCAGCATACACTATTCTGATCTCAATTACATCAGCCTAAATTCAGGCTAACTCTACGGATATCAGGAGTATTATTTTGGATAGTTGGCCTGATTCTTGCAGATCCTCAACCTGTGTAAACTGTTGTAGCTCAATTGAAGTCAGTTTTCACCATCTGAGGATCTGGCCCTATGGTTCTATGAATAGCTGCACAGCATCCCTGCAGAACAGCATACGTTGTATGTCGTGTACTGTGGCATCCCCACGCAGTGGTTCAACAATGTGAGGGCCAGCCGTTCACCCCTACTGCCAGTGCTTACTTTGTGCCAGGGTTTGCCAGGACTGAGCCCCAGCACCTCTAGGCTTGCTGCATCAGTTATGACATTAAAAAAATTGCTTGAGCCCCAGCACATCTTTAATTACAAATTAAACACTGCCTACAGCCCTGGTTGTCTAGAGAGCTGGAAGGAAATCTTATTGCCACTTCCTGCTGCCAGCTCTCCTCTGATTGCATGAGGGGATGGCATTCCAGCAGGGAGACAGCAGGTGGAGAGTCTGGGTTCAGGACTGGGGGCAGCCTGTCTGCAGGTGACTATGAGCTTGCACCATGCTGCACTGCACGTGAGAATCAACTAGAGCCTGATTCTTGCAGATCCTCAACGTGTGCAAACTGTTGTAGCTCAGTTGAAGTCAGTTTTCACCATCTGAGGATCTGGCCCTATGGTCTGAGGGAGTGTGTTGTTTTTTCTCAGATTGACAGTGTATTGACATTGCATCAGCAATACTGAGGTGTAAATGAAACTAAGTGACACCAAAGAAAAACTAAATCTTCTCAGAGCAAGTGCAAGAAACAATTGACTCTGCCCCTCTCCATGGACTTCCTGACAAATAAACCAGGTCAAATAGGCTGATTTTGTACTGTGCATTTTCTCCTTGCTCCAAATGTTTGTGAGTCAGAACTCCCTAAAAATAAGCTCCGTGGAGTTTAGAACAAATGATACCCTCATTTCTTGAGTTATGTTAAGTGGCAGAGGGTGATGATGAAAATCAAAACAACAAATAAATGCTACGTTTAGTGTATGCTTTCATTGCCTTTGCAAAAGGAAAGTATATCCCCCCCCAAAAGTCAGCTGTATTTTATCAGCTTTGCAAAATGATGAATGAATGCCTTGTTCATTACTATTGCTTAAGTCATTCCTATTTATGCCAGTATTTGGAGGATTATGTTTTGATTGTTCTTGAGAGATGAAAACACTTTCTTGCTGATGAATAAACACTGCCACTTTTTAAATATTTGTATGCAAAATGTCTTTAAAGCCATTATGAAATGCTTTCCAAAAGCTTTAAGAAGCTGTTTTTCGAAAAGCCACTTTTTCTCTACATTTTCTTTCATGCTAAACAGTCCAAATGAAAGGCCTTTCAGAGTTAACTAGTTTAAGCAATACCAGTGTTTTAGTGTAATGAATAACTTTTTATAGAGGACAATTGCACAGAGTTCAATATGCTAGTATTTCTATTTCTGTGCCCCACCAATGCGGGATTCTGTGGTAGAATTTCTTTCTTCGAGAAAGCTGAAGCGATCAAAACCCTGATTAACCTCTGATATTCACGTGGTGCTCTTGATCTTGAGGACCGAAGCAATAACAAAGAGTTAATGGCAGCCATATGCTTAGGGTATTGTGGGTACTGTTGACCCAAATGTGAACTCCGTGAGTGACTGCTGCTAACTGCTGTTTGTTTCAGGTTTGGCGTGGAGATTACTGATGAAGAGTTTGAGCTGCTACTTGACAGAATCCCCCTTGATGAAGATGGAAATGTCAGATACCCCCAGTTCATGGCCATGTTTGATTCTCGGTACTCAGCTTATACATTTTATTTCTCATTTGTTAGTAGAATTTTTTTGTTTAATCTAAGAGGCTTACATAACATTGCTAAACAGGCTTGGATTTCGTAAATGTGCTCCTTTATTTCATTCATTTGTATTTCATATATATAATATGCTGATAATACTTAAGACTAGGTGATACTATCATCACATTTTATTTATAACTTAATTGCTCTTTAAATACTTATTAATTAGTTATTGTATTATGAAGAATACACCATTGAGGTAAATAGTTGCATGTGATATATCTAGTGCTAAGGAATATGATAAACTTGTAAGTACAAACTAATGATTTCTAAAAACAGTCATAGATGCTTTTAATACCTATGTAAGAACATGTTGCATTTGCAGATACTATATATAGTTTGGAATGCTTTTGAGCGGGGTAGTTGCTTTATGGAGATTTTTTTTCTATTCAACCTCTTAAGGCCTAGATATGGATCGAGTTTAGGTTAAAAATGATATTTGAGATACATGGTGATATTTTATTGTTGAAAATTAGGGCCTGATCCTGAAAACCATTAATCATGTGAGTAGCACTTTAGAAGTTAATGGGATTACTCAAGTGAGGACTACTTGTTGGAGTAAAGTTTTGAAGGAACTAGTCCTTAAATTGGAATAGAAAGTGACCACAACTTGACTCTGGGATGGGAAAAGCAAGACTTATTTTCAATGAATTGCTTAAAAGGTTAAGATCCAATCCTGCAGTCCTGGTGTACATCAAAATCCTAAATTTTGGATGTGCAAAATCCACAGGATTGAGACCTTATACTGGGCCAATAAAGGTGCCTTTTATATTCAGACAATAAATATATATTTCCCAAATCTTTTTTTATGAAAAGTTGTGTATGTGGGGGTAAACTTATAAATGACAACCTCACTTGTGCATATTACATGTTGGGCATTTGTGCTCACATTTCACAAAAATGTACATGCATGTTTACATTTGTTTGTGCTGTTTAAATAACCTGAAATGTGCACGGGCCATTATTAGAATTTGTTCCCACAATATCCACCGAGGCCATGGGATTTGGAGGTGAAAATTCTAACACTCGCATGCATATGTATATGTTAGAGCTATTTGAAAGTAATGCCCTATTATTCAAGTTTTAGCAGGTGTTTACACCTGCATACTTCACGTGCAAGTCAGGATACACCCAGTTTTGTGAGCATATACATGAAGGCCAGGTCTAAGGTTTTGGTGAGAATTTATCTTGCATTGTATTGAAACCATATGTATTACTAAAATGCAATTTATACACTGCAAACTTGGCCAATTTTCACATCTCTTTGATCCCACCTCCTCCTCCCTACTTAGAGTAAGTCTACACCACAGACACTACAGCAGCACAGCTATGGTGCTGCAGCTGTGGCACTGTAGCACCATAGACACTTGCTGCAGTGACGAAAGGGGGGTTTCTGTTGCTGTAGTTAATCCACCCCCTCAAGAGTCGGTAGTTAGGTCAATAGAAAAATTCTTTAGCATATTGTTTACTCCTGTTGCCAAAACTTCCTCTCCAGTTCCCAGTGATATATATTCTTCAGTCTAGTGTCAGTTCATGCCATCCCACTGAATCTTTTCCCACCAAAGTAATTTAATGATCACTTCTTAATGATGTCTAGAGGCCTCGTCTCCATTTTTAATCCTCCTTGTTATCTTTCATACAGTGGACCAACACTTTCCCCTCAAGTCTTCTTTCCAGACTTCTGGAACTCTTGCCTCTCCTGGTTCTCCTCTTCTGATTTATTTATTTAGTTTACTGCTCTATTAGCATTGCTTTCTCACCTTCCTCCCTTCCCTTTTGGTAGCTGTCCCCTAGTGGTCTTTCTTTGGTACTTTCTCGTCATTCCCCCCTAGTGTGAACTGATGTACTACTCTTGTTTTAGTTTCCACTTACATGTTCATGACTCTCAAATCTATATCTCTACCCCAGATTTTTCCTGCTCCATCTACGCTTCTATCACCTCTTGTTTCTTTGGTATTTCCTCAGGGGAATTAAATATGTCTAAAAAGAGACTTTATTTCTTTCCCCCTATTTCTCTGTCTCTGTTAACAATACCACTCTCTCTTTCTAGCTACTTAAGCTACTATCAATACCTGGGTCCTTTTTGGATCACTGAACAAATAAACTCAATGGCCTACAAGCTTCAATTCCCAGAATCACTCAAGATTCACTCCATCTTTTATTTTATTTTATTTTATTTTATTTTATTGAGGAATGATCTTCCTCAAATCATTCGTTGACAACCCTTTTCTCAGCTGGGTAGATCCACCTCTACCCCCAGTAATTGTCCACAGGCAAGGGGAATATGTAGTCCATCAGGTCCTCAACTCCTGACGCATTGGGGGAAGCCCCAGTTTCTAATAGACTAGAAGGAGTACGGGCTAGAAGAGAACCAGAAAGAAATGTTCACCCTTCTGATCTCCTGTAGGAATTTCACCAAAGGTGACAAACCAGGGTCGAGGGCCCCTAGGAGGATCTCTCAGTGGTCTTGGTTGCCTGGTAACCCATTGAGCTCAGTGGGGCCCAATAAACTCACACTAAGTGACTATGCTCCCTGATTGATCAGAAGAGCCAACAGATCATCATTTGAGCCCTGTAGCAACAGCAGCACAGTGGCTGCTCAATGCATTCCATGCCCACAGCTGCACCAGACCTGCTTCCTGTCCAACTCTAGTCCCTGCCTGCCTCCGAACTCCTGATTCCTAACTCCTGGTTCTGACCTCTGGCTTGTCTCCAGACCACGACTCCAGGGCCCACTACAGGAATTAGCTCTATTACTGTGGCTCAGTTCTCCAGCCACAGCCAGCCTACTGCTGGGCCTTTTAAGCAGGAGAATCCAACCTCCTTTGCAGTCTTTTCCCCCGCTGAGCTCCCTGTGTCTACTTATAAGGACTAGATGCTTAATAGATCATCACCTCACTTTGTCCCCTCTGTTGAGAGGGGGGGCTAAGCTATCAATCAGTTACCTGACATCTGTGGAGTCTCTCTATAATTGGTTTTTCCCCCTTTCCTTTTTACCGTCACAGAAAGTTTCCAGGTGTTACAGGGCAAGTCTCAATTCTCTGCTTCTAATGTGGGAAACTGAAGCACATCAAAAGATTATGCCCCCAACTGGGATATGACTACCGTGGTTTCAGTGTTGCTAAGATTTGTGGTGTTTCTCAGGTCCAGGAGAACCATAGTCCTAGGAGTTTTGTGGTAATGAGCTTAAGAAGAGGGCAGAGGATGAATGGACTTGTAGGCTTTGGGTATGGTCAGACCCTGGTCAAGTGGGATCTGATCCCCACTGAGTCCTTGCGGGCTCACCATCCTATTCACATTTTGGACTTACTTAGTTGCTGGAATTGCATTCACCCGCTCAGAATGGGGTAGATTGAGAGTTGTGGACAAGCTATCATAGCGTGGGATTGGAAACACTTCTGAGCCCTTCTGGAGACACAGCTTGGCAAATTGTGTCTAGGAGAGCAAGGGAAGCTGGAGAAGGAATGCTGAGGATGCCTGGGAGCTCTTCCCCATGGTCTACTCTGACGTCCTTGAGACTTCTTCCATGTTTCTCAAATCTAAATGAGATAAAAGTGGAGAAAGTTTGACCTATCTCGAACGGAAACCAGAGGAGGAAAGTCAGACAGTCTCTCCTAGCCCAGACAGGCTCTCTAAGCCACAGGAGGTGAGAGCAATTTGAATCGGTCATCCTCTAGGTCCAAGAGACCAAGGCTTTCTGACAAATTCTGTGCTTCAGAACCAGGGAATTTGTATGTCCTGGTTGTGGATCAGTTAAGATGAGGTGCACTAGGAAGCATATTGGCAGTCGTAAACAGGGTCAGAGCTCAGAGATAGTTACTTAGTTTCCCCATTCTGAGTTACAGAATGAAATTTTGTAACAAGATCATCTGCAGTCAGCAGGGAAACTCTGAGTCCAGGTGTTGGTGCCTAAACCACCACAGAGGCTTCTTCCAGGCTTACCTATGCCATACTGTCAGCTGGACACCTTGGAAGGGAAATGGCCCTTGAAAGGCTGCTTCTGCAGTTTTACTGGCCTGGCATTGACCAAGAAACCACCATCTTCTGTTGCCTCTTGAAGGTAGCCCAATGCACCTAACCACAGTAGCCCTTGAAAAGATTGGGATGGATGTAGTAGGGCCAGTAAAGAAGAATAGCATATTTTAGTAATAACAGATTATGCTATACAATATCCCAAAGCCATCCCACTACAAGCCACCACAGCAAGAAACATAGCTAGAGAATTAATTCAGATATTTTAACCGGTGAGGTTGCCCTCTTAGAGTCTTACAGCCCAGGATCCTAAATTTACATGACACTTATTCTGACAGTTTTCGTATCTGCTGAAAATCAAGCTTGTGCAGACCCCAGTCTGCCATACCCAGCTATTTGATTTTCCAAAAGGGTGGGCAGAACCTGCCAGGAACTTAAAGCCCCTCCCCTCAGTTGAGTGGGAGAGGTGTTCCAGGACTGGGAATCAAGTGATTCTGTGGGACAAGAGAAAAAAAGAAAAAACAGAAATGGAAGTGAGGGTCAGAGGTGTAAAACCAGGGTACCAGCTGGGGACACTGAGCAGAGAGCTCCAGACAGTGCCCACTGCTCCGCAAAGGAGTCAGTAGATGCCACACAGAACTCTGGCTGGATATGTGAAATGACCCAGGAATGGATGTGCTACTCCCAGGCTGATGAGCCAGTGGAATGTTTTAACAGAACCCTTAAAACCATGTTAGGAAGAATGAAGAGTTTGAGGTTAAAGACTGGGACAAGATTTTGCCTGATCTACTCTTAACAGTGAAAGAAGTCCCCTCAAGCATTCACTGGCTTTCCCCATTGAGTTATTAGACAGAAGGTAACCTTAAAAGTACTACCCTGATCCAGATGCCTGGGACCTTACTGGACCCGTGCTATGAGTGTGCTACAATAATAAAGAATGGACATATCTGACGTTATCCAAAAAAGTCAAA